CCCGTCTCTAGGCGTCCCAGTGCTGGCGAAGGGGGCCTTTCCCAGGCTCCGAAAAGCCCACTTTAGAAGGAAAGGAAAGCTGAACCTCCCTCCCTCCGTCCATGAAAGACGGAGGTCAAAGAAGGAGGTCAAAGGGCGCGGGTGGGTCCAGTGGAAGGTGTTCCACGGCAGCTCCGTGGTGGGGCCCCCCGAGACCAGCCTGCACACGGTGGTCCAGGGGCGGGGGGGAAGTCATCATCCCAGCTCCCCCCCCGTTCTCGCTGCTGTCAATGCAGCTTTTTTCCTCATCGCTTCCTGTGCCCATTGAAGCCACGGCAGGCCTTGCGAGCGAGCCAGCAAGAGAGGGAGACGCTGAAGTATGTGCTTGTCATCCCTGGGATGCTGCTGCCTTTGTCCACTGTTACCAGCCTGCACAGCCCTTTCCACACCAAATGCCTCCGTTGAATGCCCCCCTACCCCGTTTGCCTCTTGTACTGTCAGACCACGAAGGAAGGCAGGCCGGGAGCCCGGAAGCCGTGGCCAGGATGGGGGTGAAGGGTTGACTCCTCTGCTCCCTTCTCGCTGGCCAAGGGCTTAAGGCTCCTGAACCCTACGTCACCTGGGAGCTTCCAAAGACTTCATGGAAAAGCAACTTGGAAGGGAAGGAAGTTGTGAATTAAGGGCAGAAAAAATGGAAGGGGAAGAACCTTTTAGGGACCAGGATAGATTGAGAAGATGGAAGATGGTTGAGTCAGACGGTGTAGAGCATTTGCCACGGTCAACTCGCCACGGGACAAGAGTTACGCCAAGATCAAGGAAAGGGTGGAATAGGATCATTAAAGAAAGGATGCAAAAGGAGGGGTAGAATGAAATGGGAACGACAAAAATTAAAACAATGTTTTATTTATTTTAAATAATTACATTGAATTGTTCAATAGTCCTGTGGTGAGTGGGCTGCAGCATGTTGTTCTGTTGGAGGGACCAACAACAGAAGTTTCTTTTGTGTTATTTTGCTTAAAAAGGTTTGTCTTGAGAGGAGCTAAGTTCTTAGCAACCACATGGAAAAAGTTTGCTGCAGATATCGAGGCTTTTCCAATTTCTTACTCTAACCTGTTGGGATTTTCTGGTGCTCCCCATCCAGCTCTTAAATTACTCTGCAAGCACCAGGGTCTGTCTGTCTGTCTGTCTGTCTGTCTGTCTGTCCACAGCTTTTGAGTGTTGCTCAAGAATGCTCCTTCCTCAGGACTCTTGGCCTAGATATCCCTTGCAGTGATTTCATCTGACATTACTAGCATTCCACTGATTGGAAAGCCAAGAAGCCAACAAGGCTGCACATCAGTAGAGGACCAAACTGACGTTAGAAGTTGAAGCCGTCCATTATGGGAAAGGTGCCCTGGGCCATTCCCTGGAGAAGGGGAGGCTGTAGCCCATTTCCTTGATTAGCAGGTCGAGCTGAGGCCTGGAGGGTTGAAAGGACTGGCGTAAAGTTAGGGAGCCTTGTAATGGGCGCCTGCCTGTGTGTGGAATTCAGACCAGGCAGGTGGGGAATCAGGAGAGCGCGGGTCAGGCAAGGGGCTTGGCCTTCCTCCCCAGCTCACCCCTCCCTCCCTTTTGGGCGAAGGAGGAGGGACGCAAAGGTGTGCTGTGACTTCACCTTCTTCCCAGTCATGGTGGAAACGTGTCTGCGCTGCTGCCGCCCATTCGTCACGAGAGCCAAGTATCTTTTCCAGCGGGAGGGACTGTCTCTCCCCGAGGTGGCCGGGGGGAAAACCTGGGAGGGAGGTGACCGGTCCTCTTCCAGAGGCACCGGATGGCCCCTCACAAGGAGCTGGCTGGGCATCTGCAGCACCCCTGGGAGGGGGTCGGTCTGCCCCAGGTGGAGAGGGGCCCAGGGGGCCTGGGGCACCTTCCTGAGGTGCTGGCTGGCAGGGACCAGGAAGGGGAGAGGGGGAAGCCCCCAGGACCTGTCCAGGGAGAGCCCTACTCAGACTCCAAGCACAGCCGCAGCTGCCGCCGCCAGAGAGTCCCACCACCAACACTCCGGTGTCAGCTGGGGCCGACTTAGCAGCCAGAGGCCGTTTCTTCTCCTGGCTGCCCGGCTGCCGGGTCCTGGCCGGCCTCCACGAGGAGGTTGGGGGGTTGGGTGTTTCTCTCCCATTACGAAGAGGAGGAACGTTTGGCCCAGGACAGGCAGGTTGAAGACAGGAGCCTGCAAAGGTTTTCCCTTCCGGTGTTTGGGCTTCCGGTCGCTAATGCGTCCTTTCATGCCACGGGCAGAGATCCCCACCATTCCTCTTCCCTGGGCATTCCCGAAGGGAGGCGGGTGTGGATGCCCCCCCCCCCCCCCCCCCCTTAGATAGGTGCCTCCATCCGGATCGGTTTTGTCCCACCTTCCTTGCCGCTCAGCAAGGGCTCCGGATGTAACGCAACGGCTAGAAGTTCAAAGCGTGAATTAGTGGAGTCTGAAACCAACTGAGGGTTAAACGCCCGGCAGAAGCGATGCTGCGACTTTGCAGAGTGAAGGGGGAAGGAGCAGGCAACTCCTGTGGAGTGTGTGTGTGTGTGTGTATGTGTGTGATCCTGGGAGCAAAGCAGCAGAGGCCCCCTTGCAGGTGTGAGGCAGGTGTGAGACCCAGCGCAGACCTTTTGAGGCAGGAATTGTGGGATCCACCTGCTTTTAGGCTGGTTGGCAGCCTCGTCTGCTGCATTCTGCGTCAGTCGCCGCTTCTGGGGCCTCCCCACTCCAAGCATGTTGCAGTGATCAAGTTGGTATCAGGCCGTCAAGCGAGCCCAGTTTATCGCAGGCGCCTCTTGATCCGGCCTCCCTTTGCCCATTGCTGTCCTCCTCCTGCGTGTTTCGGGAAGGGTGCCGAGCGGTGGGGTTCCTCCGAGAGGACGCCCAGCACCTCATGTGTTTGGCCCCTCCAGCGTAAGGAGATTGTTTCCACGTAGTATTTTTTACTTGCTTCTTAACTGCCGTTGCAATGGTTGTGAGAGTGGTCGTTGTGCACTCTGCACCAGAGTATATCGCATAGGCACACAGCCTGTAATATTGTGTTGGCTGCCCTGCCAGATTTCAGGTGCTTTCAGGTGGTTGCTCCCAAAGGTGAGGTTTGACTAAAACAGCCTCCTTCCCACACTGTTCCTGTCCTTGTTTTATCTCGTTGCTTATTTTATCCCTCAGGACGATCATTTTTCACTGTGTGTGTGTGTGTGTGTCCCTGTGCATGTGCAAGCCAGACCGGACCCTCGAACTGGGCCGAGTTTGCAAGCGGCCCCCTCTGCTTTCCAGGAAGGGCTCAAGCCGGACGGGCTCCTGGGCAGATTCCAGCCACCAGACTGGCCCAGGCTGGAGCGGTCCTGTCTCCCCCACTATTTTCACAGCTGGCCACAAGGTGGCCCCCTTACGTTGCCCAACCGCCTCCGAAATAAACCCCCTTCCAAAAATGGCATAAAGGATTTATGCGCAAGGCCAGGGGTCGTTTGAGAAAACCCCTCCGTCCACCTCTCGGGTGTCCGTCTCCGAGATAGGCTGGCAAACTCTCCCCACCGCTTCCTCCACTCTCTGCCACCGCAGCCCTTGGAAGGGACCCAGCAGCCTCGGGCCAAGACAGCTGCCCGCTGGGTCCCATTGGGCTTCTCTTCCTGCTTAAAGGATGTCTTTTGGAGGTAGCCGGGGAAACCGACCACTTCTTCAAAGTCCATTGAAAAGTGGACTTCCGTTTGCCAGCCCTGGTACCTGGAAATGCCACAGGTTGGACAAGACCTGGGCCCGGAGTTCTGATGCCCATTAAGGACTCCAGCCTTGAAGATGCCCGGACAGTGGAGGGATAAGCAGTGCGGAAGGGCTGGTCATCTAAGGCCGAGTGCAGGGGACCAAGCGGCCTTTCCTTCCTGGGCATCTCCCGCTTGGCACCTCTTCCAGTCATGGTCTCCCAGCTCCTTCATGGCACCAGCCATGGTCTCCCCCTTATTGCCAGTCCCTTCTGGGTCCACTCCGGAATAGGAAGCAAATGCCGCTCTCTTCAGGGCATCTGTAGGATGGGTTGGATCCCAGCTCCTAAAAAATGGTCTTTTCACCACAAAGGGAGGATTTATAGCATATGTTTCCTCAGAGCTAATCCAGTGACTGAATTAGCTTGCTCATTAACTGCTGGACAGCTCATTAATTTCTCTTTGAACATTTCCTTTCTTTCAAGGTTTATGATGAACGTGACCTGGAAAGGCAGAGACTTATCCTTCACCACGGATGGCTACCAAGCCCAGCCGCGGCTCGTGGTCACCGTCCTCAATGAGAGCCGGGCCTGGGAGAAGGTAACCGGCGTCCCCTGGGGGAGGGCCAGAGGGTCAGCAGAGGCGGGGGGGGGGGGGGGGGGGGCTCTGCAAAGCCAGCACTTTCACTCAGGCAAGGAGTGTGTGTGTTTGGGAGTGCAGCCGCCTTCAGAGCTTGCCTGCTCCGTTCAGGTGGTGCCTTTCCCCTCCCGGGGACCGTTGGGGGGGCAAACGCTTTGATGAAAAGGTGGAGCTATTCCTAAAGCAGCCGCCTCTTTCTTGGGGGAGGCAGGCCCTCCACCTGGACAGCCCAAGAGCCCCGAAAGGCGCCCACGGGGGTCTCAGGCAGGAAAAGGTGGGCAACCTGGGATCTTGCAGAGTCCGCAGTGCTGACCCATGGAGAGCGAGAGCGGATCTCCAGCCCCCCCCCCCCCCCGGGGGGGGGGGGGGGGGCCCCCAGCCCCCCCGTGGTGCGGGGGGGGCGGGGGGGGGGGGGGGCTGGCCTGCAGGTTGGGGACCTTTGTTGTCAAGGAGCTCAGGGCCCAAAGCTTCCCCTGCCTCCCACCTGGGAGAAACCTGAGCAGCCAGATCAGATGGGCTGGATGGGTTTAGGACGGCTAGGCTGGCCCTAACCCCTCAAAGGAGTTTTAAGGAGGGGTGCCGGTCGATGCAGGCTCCTTTCCCTGCCTGGATGCAGCTGGGGAATCAGTTTAAACAGAAAGGCAATCGGTCTCACCCCGGTGGGGAAAAGCCCCCCTCTTTTTAGCCTCCTTCATCCTTACATTTGCGTAGGATTGGCCAAGTTTGAAAACTGAAGGTGTCTTGAAATGGGGGCCTTTCCTGTGTAGGGGAGGAAGGCCTGGTCTGGTGTAAAGTAAGGCCAGGCCTACCAGGCCAAGAACCAACGCTAGGTAGCTCAGTGCTGCTCCTCTTATTATAAAGCTGCAGTAAGAGAGTCTTGCGTCACTGAATGCGCCCCCTCCTGCCTCCCCTTCTCTCCCTCTTGTGAGGCAAGGAGGGGCTTGTCGTGTGCCTTTCCTGGCCTGGACTCTGGCCCGCTTCTCTGACCGCAGAGGCTGCTCTTCCTCCCGTCCTGCAAGGCCGTCCCCTCCACCCTCTGCCCCCTTCTTACTTTCTGATGATTTCATCTGATTTTCTTCCACTGGAGCAGAGCAAGGGCGCACATTTAAAAAAAAAAAAAGCCACCCACATATAGGTAAAATATTTGCAAAGACCATTTTTAAAGATCCCCCCTCAAAATGGTCTTTCTGCAGCAGGAAGCAGCTGTTTGCGGCTATTGTGTGCCTTTGCCAAAAAACAATGAAAATAAATGCCGCATGGGATTTAATAGGGGAACACGTTGTCTAGTTTTTTTGCCCATTAAAACAATGCGTTGACTAAACATTGCCATTTAATTAGGATTAATAATTATTTTAATGCCAGAGCTGGTGGAAACATGACCTGGCTATTTGAAGTGTGGCTGGACGTGTGTTGGATTATTCTGAAGTTCCATAACAGGGAAGGCTCTGTGTGTGCGTGTGTGTGTGTGTGTGTCTACTTCAACACTGCAAACTGGAGACCTGAAGGGTCCGTCTGGGTGAGAGTTCCTGGCTGGGCAGTCGAGCAAACAGACTCCAATTGTGGTCCGAGGTTCCTGGATTGAAAGCATTTTGTCCTGGAGAAGAGCTTTGACTCCAGCAAGAATTCCTGGTTGATATGCCAGCATTTCTGCTTCTGCTCAGAGGATTCATCCCTGCGGCCTGGCTGCCTGCGCCGTGATCTGCAAAAATAAACAGCAGCCCTCTTTTTTTTAAAATCTGAATTCATCCCTGTAAAGAGAGGAGGGGAGAGGAGGGGGGCAAGCAGGGCCACTCCCCTCCCTCTGTCCCCTTCTCCCCCAGTGGTTCGTTGCCCAACTTCACCAGGTCTTCTCGTCCTGCTGAAGGGCCAAGAGCAAACAATAGATACAAACTCAAGGTTAACCGCACCAAATACGACTTCGGCAATCACAGAGCGGTCGATGTCTGGAATCCTCTGCCTGACTCTGTGGTTTCTTCCCCAAACCCCAAAAACTGTAACCTTAGACTGTCTACCGTGGACCCCACCCCTTTCCTAAGAGGCCTGTAGGGGGCCTGCATAAGCGCACCAATCGTGCCTACCGTCCCTGTCCTATGGTTTCTTTTATTTTTCTTACATGTATCGATGTATTCATAACTATGTATATACTTATGCCTATTATCTTGTAAGTGATTGACAGATCAAATAAAATCAGTCAATCAATCAATCAATAAAGATTTTCCATCAGGGCAGCCAAGTCAGAGCGCATTAATTCAGAGCAACGGAAATTCTTGGTGCTATTGAGCTGAAGCGGAGGGAGGGGAGGCAGGAAAGGGGGCCGGGGGGGGCACAACCTGTCCGAACAGACCCGGCTGACCTTGGAGGGGCGTGTCGTGAATCAAGAGGGGGGGGAGGTTAGCCCGGCATAAGAAACGAGATGGACCCGTGGACGGACGTTGGGTGGAGCCCACCTGCACCAGCCCCTGCTAACCCTGCAAGGCCCCCGGACTCTCTGGGCTTCTTCCTTGCCCCCAAAGGTTCAGGGGCGTCTTCCTGTCCGCACAGAGCCCCAACTGCGAGGATCCTATTGCACAGACCTTGAGCAAAACCCCGGGATAGACGATCCCAGGATCCTTAGGGGCCTTCTGTCCCGTCCCCCCAGCCCCCTCCCCCCAACTCCAACCTCCTGCCCCTCCTTTCTTCTCCCTGGAGTGCGGCTGCCCCTCGGCTGCGCCCACCTGCCTGTGTTGGCTCCTCAGGTGGGCGAATGGGAGAACCAGACGCTGACCCATAAGTACTCCGTGTGGCCCCGGTTCAACTCCTTCAACGACAGCGACCCCGATCACAACCACCTCAGCATCGTCACCCTGGAGGAGGCTCCCTTTGTCATCGTGGAGGACATGGACCCCTTGACTGAGACCTGTGTGAAGAACACGGTGCCCTGCCGGAAGTTCGTCGTCATCAAGTAAGCCCCGGGGTCCCTCGCCCTTCCTGACCCCGCAAAGGTCTTGCTTTGGGGGCCAGGGTTGCTTGATTTAGATGTGGGGCTGCCCTGCCCTCCCGGTGGGAGACCCCAGAGCCCCCCCACAAGGCGAAGGCTGCTTCCCATGACGTGGCATTCTCTCCGTGGCATTCCTTGGCAGGCGCTGAAAGGGCCTTTTCCAGGACGCTTTGCCCATTTCCTCTTGATTTCCTGGCGGGCTGCTTAGGTTGCCAGGATCAGTCGGTTGACTAAGAGTTGCTGCCCATCTGGGTTTGCAACTGAGGCTGTTCCTAGGCATGTTTCCTTCCTCCTTCCTCCTCCTTGGCCGTCTTTTCAAGCTACAGCAACGGAGGGAGGGAGGGAGGGAGGGAGGGAGACGGACCTTTGTGCTTGTCTCCTCAGCAACATCACCAAAGAAGGGAAGAACCTGAAGAAATGCTGCAAAGGGTTTTGCATCGACATCCTGAAGAAGCTCTCGAGGACCATCAAGTTCACCTACGACCTCTACCTGGTGATCAATGGGAAGCACGGGAAGAAGATCAATAACGAGTGGAATGGGATGATTGGGGAGGTAAGCTCTGCCGCTGGAGGCGCTGGCTCGGCTCCCTCCAGACCCCGCTGCCTTTTGCCCCCCCTGAGCCGGGGCTCCCCTCTCCCCGCTTTGCCCCCCGACAGGTGGTCAAAAAGCAGGCCGTGATGGCGGTGGGGTCCCTCACCATCAACGGGGAGCGCTCGGAGGTGGTGGATTTTTCGGTGCCCTTTGTGGAAACTGGGATTAGCGTCATGGTCTCGCGGAGCAACGGCACCGTTTCCCCGTCTGCTTTTTTAGGTGAGCCTCCCTCCCTCCCTCCCGCCCACCCGCCCTTCCCGGAGCCTCCCTCCTTCCCTCGTTGCTTTGCAGAGTTGGGCCAACCGTCCTCTGGCTTGGCTGGCTGTCGTGGCCGGCCTCCTGGGGTCTGAAGCTGGCCCTCCCTCCTCTTTGAGGCACCTGGCACGGGGGGGGGGGCTTGGCTCAGGGCTTGATCCGCCCACTTTCCCCTGGCAGAGGAAGCAAGTTGGGATGCCAAGCTCCTTCCTAGAGGAGAGGTCAAGGAGCAGGGCGGGGGGGGGGGGGGCTGGGGGGCTTGTCCTGCCCCAGGCTGACCTGGGGCAGAGAGCCTTGATCCGGAGGGGTCCTAGCGATGTAGCCTCTGGGCCACATCCAGAGTGCCCTTCCCAGCAAAGCCAGCCACCTCTTCCTCCCCCTTGGGTCACAGGCCTCCCTCCTGGGCCGCCCTCCTGGTGGGCTGCTGTCTCCACAGCTCAGCCCGGCAGCCCCTTTCCTGAAGAGACGTGGCAGGGTGGGAGGGGGAGGGTGCTTCTCCCCCCCCGCCCCCCCCTTGGCTGCAGAGGCCTCCCGGGCTCTCGGGGCTTTTCCTCCCCACCTTTGCCGCTCACCAGTCTGCATTGGGGCTCAGCCGACGTGGCTGCGGTGTGAGAGGAGCAGCTGCAAGTTGGCTCGTGCGGAGGGATCCCCTCCCGCCAGCCAGGCAGCCAGCAGAGGGGCCAGGGGGCGGCAGGAGGGGCGGCTGGCAGCCGGGGGTCTCGTGCGTCATTCTTCCTGCCGCAGACCGGCTCTTCCACGGGGCGCCTTTCTCGTTGCAGAGCCCTTCAGCGCCTCGGTCTGGGTGATGATGTTCGTCATGCTGCTGGTTGTCTCGGCCATCGCCGTCTTCATCTTCGAGTACTTCAGCCCGGTGGGCTACAACCGCAACCTGGCCCAGGGCAAAGGTAGCGCCTGCTCAGCCAGGGGGCCAGCCCCCCCGCCCAAGGAGGGCACCTTTCTCCCTGACCTGCCAGTCATGGGTCACTGGGGGGGAGGCACTGTGTGTCCTGGGTGTGCCCCACATGGGAGGCCGGGGCAGAGTCGCCCCAACGTTCTTCCCCTCTGCCAGCAGCGTCCAGCCTCTTGGAGCCAGGGAGCAAAAGGACTTCTGGCTGCCCAGAGGATCCTCCAGATTCAGGAGCAGTCTGGATGGGATGGCCTGATTTGGGCCTGAGCTCAGCTGCCCTGTCCTTGCCTGCTTACTCTCAGAGCAGCTTTTCGGAGGGTTCCTGGTCCTGGCTCTGTAGAGGAGGAGGAAGGCTGGTGCCCTGAGGGAGGAGGGCCTCCTCAGCAGGAAGCCCCCCACCGGGCAGGGGGGCGTTAGGGGCTGGGCTTCTGGTCCAGGAGCCGCACAGGCCACCTCCTCCCTTGCCAGGGACCTCTCCAGTCCGCCTCCCAGCCACGCGTGGCAGCCTTCTGCCTAGGGGTGGCCCTGACTCCCTGGAGAGCAGCCAGGATGGGGTTCAGCAAGGGGGATCCTGGGCCCAACTCTCAGGGGGCGAAGGGCTGCTAAGGAGCCGGCGAGGGGCGCTGCAGGCGGCTTGGCAGTGGCCTGGCGTGTGGGGAGCAACCGCTAAGCCCAGGGCCCCCTCTCGCCCCCTTTGTGCCCCCAGATGCTCACGGGCCCTCCTTCACCATCGGGAAGGCCGTGTGGCTCCTGTGGGGCCTGGTGTTCAACAACTCCGTCCCGGTGCAGAACCCCAAGGGCACCACCAGCAAAATCATGGTCTCGGTCTGGGCGTTCTTCGCCGTCATCTTCTTGGCCAGCTACACGGCCAACCTGGCTGCCTTCATGATCCAGGAGGAGTTTGTGGACCAAGTCACGGGGCTGAGTGACAAGAAGGTCGGTGGGGCGCCTTCCTCCCCTCCCCAGCCCCCCACCTGTCCCGCGGCATTGGAGGCGGGGCAAAGCCGGCAGGAAGACGGGCCGGCCTCGCGCCCCCCTCCTCCCCCAAGCCCTTGGCAC